GCCGGGGCGACCGGGCGGGGCGCTCCCACAGCGATGGGCACCCAAGGGTGAGGGAGGGCAGCCCGCATGCACCCCACAGGCAGGTGGCAGGGCGGGGCGCCGAGGCTGGACAGCCGTCCAGCGCGGGGCGCAGGGGGCCCCCTATCACTTGTGTCGCCCCCATTTCTGCGTCCTGCGCGGAGCGCTGGCCTGCGTGCAGGCCGGAGCCCCCCAGGTGGTGTCTGTGTGTCCAGACGGGGTGCCGCGGAGCCAGCCTCCGGGGTGGGCGCCAGGGAGGGCGTCACCCTGGGGACACGGGGTCCCGGACAGTGCAAGTGACAGCACGCCCCGCTTTGTGTGACTGGTGCCGCCTGGCGCACGCGCCCCCCCGCGGGATGGTGAGTCCCGCTCGGGAGCCACGACGGCGAGGGCTGGGCACCCTCCGGGCAAGGACCCGGCTCCGGCGGTGCCGAAGAAGCCCCCCGCGGCCTGGCGACCCCAGCACCGGGGTCCCGTCGCCCCTGCTGGCTGCCACTGAACATGCATGGGAGCCGGGAGCGCACCCCTGGGGGCGGTCTGGGCCACCCCTGGGACCCAGCACAGGCACGCTGGCCGCTCACGGCCCTTGCTGGCCCCTCCCTGGCGGCTGAGGCCTCCGTTTTCAGCATGTCCTGCTCGGCCCGCCCGCTGGCCCAGGCTGTCCCCCACACCCGCCGCCACCCCCAACGGCCTCCCCCTCACGTTTGCCTGTGAGCCCCGGAATGTTCACAGTAAGGGCCATGTGCGGCCCTCGCCCTGGGTGTCCCAGCCTGAGGAGAGCCCACAGCGGCCACCTGCTGGACACGCCCCCTCGCTCTCTGCCTGGGTGAAGGCCAAGCCCTGGCTGCGACCAGTGGAGACGGGCTGGGGGCGGAGGATAGGAACGGAGGTCACCCGCTGCCCTCCTGCCCGCCGGCCACCCCAAGCACGTGAGCTGCCCGCCTCTCAGCACGCACAGCCTCCCTGGCCAGACACCCCCTCCATAACCCCCACCGGGTGAAGCGTGAAACAGGACACTTGTGAGTGGAACCTCCTGGATGCTGACCAAGGGCTCAGACTGAGTCCCCCTTGCGGGGGGCCGGGGGGGGCGAGGCAGCACCCCGCTGGCCACACCTTGGAGATCCCCGAGATGATGATGGTGCTCTTCTTCCGCGGGGACTTGAGCTTCATCTTGGAAGACTCGCTGAGCTGCCGGATGGCCGCTTCGGCCACGGGGTCGGAGCCGTTCAACACCAGCAGCTCTGCAGGACGAGAGGCCGTCAGCGAGCACGACACCTTCAGGGCCCGGGTGCTGGGAGGGTCCCAGGGTCACCGGCGTCCGGGAAAAGCAGGAGCGCAGAAGCTCGAGCCTGCGGCCGTGGGCACACAGCTCACGCGCGGAGGGAGGGCGAGCCGGCCTCAGGGACCGGACCAGCGGGGCAGGTGGTGACTACCGGCTCGTGGGGCCTGGCAGTGGCCCGGCCTGCTCCCCGCCCGCGCCCTGGGTGTCTGAGGCCCTGACCCCTCCGACTTGTGCAGGTCAGTAGACCCCCAGCCCCGGGAGGTGGGCGCCGCTACCTCACGTGACCCCCAAGCCCTGGAGGAGGGAGCTCGTTTCACCCCTCTCTGACGAGGGGGCCGGGAACCCCCAGCTCTCGGGCTCAGGGAGGCTGAGGGCCGACACTGTCGCGGTGAGGAGGGGCCGGGCAGCCCCGGGACAAGGGGAGGGAGCTTCTCCCGCCTGAGCCTCGGCAGCGGCCGGGGCCATGGAGGCGATGTGTGCAGGGCCCCCGCTGCCCGCATGCCCGCTGCCCGTCCATGGAGAGGGACACGGTCGCAGGTGGGCAAGGGAGCACCGGAGCCGCCGCCTCCTGGTCGGTCTGTGCGCTGCTGCCCCGCCCCAGACCCTGCTGTCCCCGGGGGCCACACTGCCGTGGGCCCAGGGGAGAACCCACGGAGGGGGCGCAGGGGTGCCCAGGTGGAGGGAGGCGGGGAGGGCGTCCTGGCAGCAGAAGCGAGAGTGGACAGCAGGAGCCGCACGGCCTGCGTCCAGGAGGCCACTGTCGGGGGACCCGGAGGGGCCCCTTGGGCACATGGCGCCCCAAGGGGAAGGGTGGCTGCGGGAAGCCGGGCCCGTCCTCGGAGGGCATGCAGGTGCGGCGGGGGGGGCCAGGGCAGGCTGTCCTGGGGTCCGCCCTGGACCCCACCACTTCAGATATCCGTGCAACTGGCTTGTTGAGCAGCGAAGAAAGAGCGCCCAGAAGGCGGGCTGAGCTGGGCTCCCGGTGTTGGCTTTGTTAGTGTCCCAGAGCTTCCCTGAGGCAGGCTGGGGCCGCCCTGCGTCGGGACTTTGACGTCACTCTTCACGTGTCACTCACAAAGGGCCCCTGGCCCCAGACCCCCGGAGATGTTCACTCCTC